TTCGGTGTATTGTTTTCACGGCTATTGTTATGCTGATTCCGTAGAGAACCGTGGCTCAGTGGCATAAACTTGGGTATCGAAGAAAATGAGTCAAGCCCGTTTGAGRAGGGTTAGTATTTGGATGGGTGACCTAAAAATCATACATACTCAACTCAACTTTGATCCTGAATCTATCACACAAAATAATCTATTAAGCGAAAGAGAGAACGACTTGATGTTTTTCTACAAAAATTACTTTAAATCAGAACTAGAATTCCTTTCAGTTGAGAAACGGTCAGACCTTAAAAATTCCAGGGCATTTAATCCGATCCAYGCCTGGAAGTTGGTTTATATTTATTTGTTCGTTATTTTGTGTCGGAAAAAACATATAACTTTTCGATTATGAAAAAATGTTCTTTCAATTGATGTGAAAAAGTAGCTACCTCATGGTCTCACGCTTAGTTCACATCCAGTGAAAGGACCTTTGAAGCTCCTCAGTCAATTCTCTTGAACCTAGCTTTTCTAAAATCAAGTTTCTTCTAATCTTTATTTTAATTTTATTTGTTTATTTATTACCTCATGACCTCACACTTATTTCACATCCAGTGAAAGGATCTTTGAAGCTTCAAAATCAACTCTTGCATCATTTTCGTCCTTCTGATCTTTATTTTTGTTTATTCATTAGTTATTCTATGAGTTGATAACATTTATAACTTTTCGAAAATGAAAAATGTCCCTTCAATGGATGTGAAAAAGTAGCTCCCTCATGGCCTCACGCTTAGTTCACATCCAGTGAAAGGACCTTTCAAGCTCCTCAGTCAACTCCTGATCGTCCATTTTCATTTTCTTCCTATTTCATTTTTCTCTGATCTTTTTTTTCCTTTCTGTTTGTTTGTTTTTGTTTTTGTTTATATGTTTTGATTTGAATTAAACAAAATATAGAGTTTCGAAGTCGTGGAAAAAGTCCCTTCAATGGATGTGAAAAAGTAGCTCCCTCATGGCCTCACGCTTAGTTCACATCCAGTGAAAGGACCTTTCATGCTCAGTCCTCRGTCAACTTCTAAGCCATATTAAATTATTATGTTTTGTTAAAAACTACTTTTAATGTATATCTTTTTTCTCCGCGTTTAGAAGAAAACATATTAACTTTTCGATTATGAAAAAGAAAAACTTAAAGCTCGTAAAAGATTTCCTTTTTAGCTTTTCTATGTTATATAAAGAAATAATGGTCAAATGAATGTGGTTTAGGACTGGATTAGAAGCTTCAAAGGTCATTCTACTGGATGTGAACTTCAAGTTAGCAAAACAACTAACATATGCCTTGATTTGAAAAAGGGTAAAAGAGGACTGTCCACAGGCGTGAAAGTCACAATCTGGTTTTTATTTTTAATCAGGTGCTGGGCTACCTGTGGTATATTCACCTTCGTCGCACCACAGGCAGTCCATACTTTTAAATTGTAAAAAAATAAACGCACACCATAAATATATAATTTTGAAAAAACATAAAAATCACTACTCACCTTTTCTGTTTTGACTTGAATAGCATTGATCGATTTGGGGATACGGTACAGAAACTCCATTCGTTTGGTAAATACTATCCATATTCCCTTTGCTGAATCCATGGTAACTGTACGCCGTCTGTTACTGTCTTAGCTTGTCATATGGCAGGAACGCGAGTAAGGAGTTTTCGAACGTCTTTTTCGATTCCTTGTTCCATAAATAAGAAAAGAAATGAGAAAATGAGTGGAATAAATTCACAGATTCTTACCGGTATAAACTTTAATGTATCCTTCTCAAATAAGCCATAATTTTCATTAATCTTTAAAAATAACTGCGTCAAAGTAACTTTTCTAGTAATGTAAGACTTTTCACTATAATTTCAAGTCGAAATACAAAAGACATTTTTTTCTCATTCCGACACTCCATCTAGAAAAAGTCCGATCCAAGGAGTGAATCCAGATAGGGATTTTCCACAATTTTGGATTTTGAGACAAAAAGTAACAGATTCTAAAAGAGCAAGAGAAATGGGAATCAATTGTGTAATTTGTTTTGTTTTGGTTGCAAAGGAAATGGATTTACAAGCATCAAAAGTATGGACCCGCAAGCCGCTTGTACACCTATACAACACACCCCGCAAAATTTAAAATCTAGCGCTTTCTAGCATTACTATGCAGATCGAAAGGGTGTCTTTCTCCGCAAAACCAGACCAAACATGCTAAAATCAAATGCGATCTGTGTTTTAGCCGGGCTGTGACTTTGATTCGCAGGAGTATCGATAAAATACTGAGGATCATCCAAATACGGTTTCTATATATGGTATATGGATTAATCGTAATATTTTGTTACTTTCATTTGCGGCGCTATCGTCGAATCACACGATATCACATTTAGAGAGGCTATTGTCCTTACACCTTTAAGATGACTTAAGTGCACGGTACGTCTGTAACTAGGGTAAATCCAGACTTACTTTCTATCCGTATAGACAAAATGAAAAGTCAAGCCCGGAAAAAACAGTTTGCCAGCCTGTTGTATCGGATAAAAAGGATGTCCACTACTGAATTGGTCCATATCTTGACTTTTCCAACATTCGTACAGGAACTACTCGTTATGCTTTATGTATCCTTTAAGTGGTAGGAATCGAAAAAAAGCTTCAAAATGGCTTTAAATGTAAAGCATTCAAGGTACGGGTAAACACTACATCACGGGCGGAGAGGGACCCCATAAAAATACAGTAAATGTATGTAATTTGGGCTGTGAGGGGGCTGTGAAATGCACTCCACGCCCGGGATGTAGTCTTTTCCTCAAAACACATCATTCAATCACAAGCCCAGCCTGATATTCTTTATCCTTCCATTTGGTTGTATCACTAAGCCATCGTAGACGAAACTGAGGCTGATGAGAATGGATTTCTCGTCTAGTTTGGTTCGTATTTAAATAAAACTCCCGATCATTTGTAGGCGTTTAACAATTGAACATAAGTCGAGTGTAGAACGTTAACAATGCCATCTCCATATTCAAGAATACAGTAAAAAATCCCGATAGGAATTTCATTTTTAGAGGAAAGAGGAAAGATGTATTCCAGTTGTAGGCTGATGGTTTTTGCGGAAATCAGGCTTCAACGTACGGTTAATCTGCTGGATAATCAAATTCTGTTCACTCTAAGCGCACAGTGTAGTGTTATCAGTCCGATGCATTTTCGTTTCATCCTTGAAAAGAGTCGGGTAACGTAGCGGTATTCACTCGCCTTATCTCTGGGGTCTTGGTATCAGGTCCTTCCCTTGAAAGGAAGGTATTCCTTGCCTTCCAGGTATCCTCCATCCGTAAAACCAGACCCATAACATGATAAAATCCAATGTATTTTTCACTGAGCAGTGTTCTGACTTTGATCGGCAGGTTATCGCTAAAATGCTATAATATATGGTATTTCTTTCCCTTTTTTTTCCCTTTCTTTGCCGCACTATCGTCCAATCTCACGGTTATGCCAGGACATTCAGTGTTGTTATTAAATCTTTAAGATCAAGGCACGGCACAACTGTACGTTCCTAGTCTAGTTCCTGAACATTTTCCATTTGCCCCTCCGTCCAACTCAAAAAGTCGCGCGGAGAAAATAATTTTTCAGTTGGTTGTAGAAGACAGAAAGTGAGTCCAGAACTGGATTAGTCTGCACTTTGAGATTTTCACAGTCATGCAGAATGTACTCTTTATTGATTTGTCCATTCTTTGAGTGCTAGGAATTTTTTAAAAAGCTTCAAATGTCAAGCATTAATTCAAGTTACGGGCGAAGACTACATCACGGGCGGAGAAGGACCCCCATAAAATGCTGTAAATGTATGTAATTTGGTCTGTGAGGGGCCCGTGAGACGCACTCTACGCCCGCGATATAGTTTTTTTCTCAAAACACATCATTCAGTCACAAGGCAAGCCTGATATTCTTTATCCTTCCATTTGGTTGTATCATAAAACAGTCGCTAACCAAATCAAGGCTGATGTCGGATGGATTTTCAACCTTTTAAGTCATCAAAGACGAAGCGGTTAACAACAAGTTTGAGAAGAAGTTTGGAGACATTTTATCTCGATAATAGTATTCTATGCAAAGTCAAGATTAGCGCCACAGACTCAAACACCTCGTTAAAAATCAAATGAATAATTCCAAACCATGAAAACTGCTTGAGGCCCTTAACGGAAGATCATATATTATTGGGAAACCTTCATTTATAGGCATTAGGGGTTCAGAGGGCTAGCGATAAAAGGTAATACCAAATGTGCTGTTGAGCCACTTCGGCAAAAAATGTCTATGAAATATAATAACCTGCAAGGGTCTTCAGAACAGAGTGCATTCCTGCAATGGAAAACTAACAGAAAGAGGAACCATAAACGAGAATGAAAGTGGCTTAGGAGATATAACTGTCGAGCGCCAGTAATCCGACTATATAGGGAATATTCCCATTCAAACTGTCATTCTAGAGGGGAAAACTATATTACAAAATATCAAGATACGCATTTTTTTAAATGCAGCTATACGACAACACTCCAATCTTCTATGTCAAAACAGAATACGGAAACATTTGTTTTGGGAATAATCAATTTTACAGTTCCATTCAGTGACCAAGAATAATATTTCCTAGCCGAGGCTGAAGTTACCGCGCATGATAAACTGTTGTTTTGCTATGCGTGGAAACTCAAGCCTTGGCTAGGAACTATTATTCGCCGGTCACTGAACGGAACTGTAAAATGGAGTATTGGCGCTAAACAATAATATTCGTTCCTAGTCAAACTGCGAATGAAATTCGTAAAACCAAAGACCAACTACACGACGTTTTGCACTGAATGAAAGCTAGCATCCCGATACAGTGAAAATAAAAGCGCTAACAGGAAAATTATAAATGAGGGCGAAAGAAATGTTAAAACGATGCAAAGAATACTTTAGTGCAAGTGTACACGAATGTTATGGAGTAAAAATCCTCAAGAGAATTCCAAAGCAACCAAAACACGTGCAAGACAAAACGAAGAAGAATATTTATGTTTTTAAACCAATTAAAGCAATTAAACCGTTAACGCCACTGAGATTTACATGGAAATAAAAAAATAAATGGCAACACAAACCTTTTTGATTCGCTGATACTTCTTACAGGCTTTAAAATATTCTCTGCAGAATTCAAATTTCATCATCGAAACATGTCGTTCAGCCTTAGATTTGGCAAAGCCGCGGGAGCGCGAAGAAATCACAGGAAGCCCAAGCAACGTACTCGCACCGAATTACAAAGACGGATTATATTTAAGAATATCTATAGTAATTTTTGTAGTAAGCTTACCATTTTTTGCATGTGATTTTTTGCTGTTATTCTTTGTGTCCGTGCATAGCTTGGAGCCGTCTCTACTAATTTTAGCTTTTTTACGGGCCTACCAATATAAAATTCATTACTCGTTGGATTGATTCCAAATGACGTACAGAGATAAGGAACAGTAGCAAGAACACACACTCAAAAATTGGTAAGCTAATTGATATTCGATATACGGATTCCACATACATTCCTTTGTACTACCGATACATGTACATTGCTTGGGCTTCCTGTGGTCGATAGAACAATGGCGGTCGTTTTGTTGGTCATTCTTGGAGTGGGTCTTATACAAGGAGCGTTTATCCTCAACACTGTACGATCTATGTTCCCTAAAGGAGGAAAGAAAAGCCGTTTACAAAGATGCTTGAGCAGTTTTCAAATAGCGCCGATAATTTTGATAGAAGTGGCAGAAATCTGGTTTTTCGTCATGGTGTTTCTACCAGCAGAAGTTGAACTACCTTTGAGCTCAACCAAAGGATGGATTTTGATTTTCATAGCATTTTATTTGTGGATCAACATGGTGTTCAACTATCTGGCAGCGGTGATTGTATCACCTGGTTATCCAGAAAGGAGAAAAGAATTCGAGGGCGATGCTGAGATGGATGTTAGGGACGGAGACTTTTGCCCAAAATGTGATCGCGTTAGATACGCAGGCACGCATCACTGTAGCACCTGTGGTACTTGCGTGACATTTATGTCACACCACTGCCCCTTTACAAACAACTGCATTGGTCTGAACAATTATTCATATTTTTATTTATTTCAAATATACTGTACTCTTGGACTCTTATTCGCTTCATACTGCACTTATAACTCTTTTATAGCTTGTATGGTATACGACTCGAGCAACAGACAAATGTTTTATCCAAGATATAGCACCCATATGTGTAATGAACTTGGGGACTACCCTGTCCTTTTTTTAGTTGCAATATTATTATTTCTTTTTATGATCATAGTAATTTGTTACCACACCATCTTACTGTTAGCCGACCTCTCTATGATTGAGTTTCTTAGACAATTCCAAAATAGTTCGTCTCTTTGGAACCTTTTCAAGATTATGTACTTCAGGATTGCTGGACGGAAGAAATTTCTTCTCAGAATTTTGTTACTTAACCATCGGAAGAAAATATGGAAGTTTTTCTTGCCTGTGATAAATGACATTGACGATCATTGGCATGGACAAGAACTGCCAGTATAGAACTGATAAGAAGCCAGATAATAGACCTCCTCAGCTCAGACATAATGTTTTTCCATTTTCAGACTGTGTCATTCCCTAGAGTATTGTTTCTTTGTTTAACAGTTGTGCTCGGTTGCACATGAGTAATGGATATCAATATGGACATAACTCAAACAAAGAATCTTATTCTCAAGGGAATGACACATGGTCTGAAATGGGAAAACATTATGCTGGATCCAAAGGGTCTATTGGGGAAGAAAAGGAAGAATAGTGAAGAGGAGGGAGGAATAGGAATGAGGAAGGCAGAAATAAGAAAAGAGGGAAGAACACAAGTGAAGGAGTGGAGAGAAGAAGGTACGGGGTGTTAGGAAAAGAGAGGAGAGATTAAAAATGGAAGGAAGAGGAGGAGGAAGAGATGAAAAAAGAGGAGAGAAGTGGAGGAGAGGGAAGATGAGTTTGGTCAGACTAACATTTTGGTGCCAATGGGGTTAGTAGTGAACTGACAATTGGCCAAAAAATAGTAGTTAACTGGCAAACAACCTAAAATTAGTAGTTAACTGATATTTCATTATTTTAGTTAATATTATGGCCAGCACTTATAAAATTATTACAGTCAACTGATAATTAGAAACCTTCATTGGCCCCCTCTAAGGCGTTCATAATGTATGGCAGAGTGGAGGGGGGGGGGGGGGGMCCAGTGAAAATTTGAAATATCCAAAATAATTCTCAACACCCCCTTAAAGTCATGCAAAAAAATACATTCCCCTTTGACCAAGGCTTGTTGCTTCTTCCAAAAATTGTTCATCCCCCCATTTTTCTGATAAAGATTTGCCCATCCCCCCCCTTTTTCTTACCAAAATTTTCCCGATCCTCCCTCGATTTCACCTGCCCCCCCTGCACCTGTGGGTTTGAGATTTTCAAATTGTAAGTGAGTGAATGTGTGGGCTTGGTGAGTATAAGTGGCAAACAGTGAATTTCACATTTTTGTTGTAAAAAAGTCCTCAAGAATAAAAAAATAAATAAGTGAATTGAGTCGTTACATTGTGCAAAATTTTCTGTTTATTTCCCAGCCTTCACTTGTTCTTTTTTCATAGCGGTATACTTGATGTGAACGAACCATCAATCCCAACCCCTCCCCCGAGAGTAGCACCAAAACTTCCCTTCCCATCCCCAACAATATTATTTTGGCGCGTAATTTTGAAGACAACATGGCTGCTGTGTGACTGCGTCATACTTCGTAACATTTTTCCTTAAAAAATCGCCTAAATTACTTTATAACTTTAGTTAGTCCACGGAAAGGACTATTTGATTGTGGATCTTACCTCTTCGTTGAGTTGATCCCAGCAAAAATTATTATATATTTATTTTAGCGACATTTTGGATCAATTTCATCAACCTCGCTTAAACGTGGACAGACAGAAATGTTTGAAAAATTCTCTTACAGTCGTAAAACAACTCCGTTTAATAAAAATACCAAGATTAGTGAAGCTGAAGAAGGTACCTCGAGACAAGAAAGATTTAAAAAAGGACGAAGACTGCATCTAGACGAAGTGGTAGTAGCAGTAATGGAGTCACCAGTGGGTAGCCCTGCAGCTGTGGACTCAAACGACTGCGATTCAACCGACGACGAAGATCTTCTCAAACCAGCTTTAAAAACAGACACAGAAGAAAACGAGGATGAAAAAAGACTCAATAAGACGCATGTGGACTCCAAAGCTGCTTTAAATGACCGTAATTCATCGAAAATTGTACATAAAACGTACAAAGAAAGCATTCATGATGACAACTTTTTAAAACTACATCTAGAGGAAATTTTTCCAAATGAAAAAGAGGAGATCAAAAGAAAAGCTGTTGAATTAAGCAGTAGTTTAGAAGATGCTGTGGATACAGTTTTGGCGCTGAAAGCTTCAGAGGAAAATGCTGGTATGAATATTTATCAGCCTTCAACGAAATGGGGTGGTGGGGGGAGGGGTACCCAAATGGGTCTCAGGTCCTATTACATTACTGGGTTCAGGTTAATGAAACATCCACAAGGCTTAAAGTAACAGCTGGTCATTGGACAATGTCTGACCATGATTTGAACTTGTCTGGTCGAATCTTTGACTTGCTGGTCATTTTGACCAGTAATGCTGAGCTAGAAAATAGATATAAATAAGCTAAAACTAATTTGGCCAATTATCAGACCGGTGACTCACCAGCTAGTATTTTAAGCTTTGTACCAAAGATGAACTTCAACACATCCTACAAGCCATTACTGAATAAAGATTTTGTTTCCATGTTTTTAGATAACAATGACAGCCTGATTATAAGGGAAAGTGGAAAGTCCAAGACAAGGAGGAAGCGGGTGCTTTCTTTTAATGACAGTGATTCTGATGTCTGCCCAACACCAAGCAAGAAAAACAAATACACTAGTGTTGTGAAGTGCCCAAATATGGGTAAGATAGAATGATGATAAATGATGATGATGAGGATAGTAAATATGTAATGGTGATGGTGAGCATTTGATGTCATGATGGTGATGATGATGGCAGCATTGGTGATGGTACAGGGTTTAAAATAATGACCACTCAACGAACAAATTCCGGCTAGAATTGGAACTTGTCCGGTCAAATGAAATCTTTACTTTGTCAGTCATTTTGACTGGCAGTAACATTGAGCCAAAAATAAGGTATAAGGTGACTAAAACTATTTTGGCTGGTCGCATAATGACTGGCAACTGGCCAATGTTATTTCAAGTCATGTGTTGAATATGATGGTGATGATAATATGATGATGATAAATGATGGTGATGGCAATGATGTTGGTGGTAATTATGTTTATATAATGAGTAAATGTTTGTAATGGTGATGATGAATGATGACAGAAATGACGGTAGTGTTGATGATAATCATGATGTTGTTTTTGAATATTTACAATGATAAGTAAACTTAAAATTTCACGTTAAATTGATAAATATTAGTAAATTTAATGATCTCTTAATAAGTTAATTTTTTTATTTAAATCTGCAGCCAATAACATTACACACAAAAAAGAGTTACAAAGCAAGATAAGTAAAGATAACAATGAAGTTATAGAAATTTCTGACAGTGAAGGTAAAAGCAAAGGTTACTTTGGTTATGCTGGATCTATAAAAAATACAAAGATATAGTACCCTACTCAGACACTCCCAAGCCTTCCTCTGTATGTAGGGGAGGGATGGATATTTTCTGGAACTACACAATATACACTCCTCAGGCCCTCCTCACCCCTTGGAAATTTCAATCCCGTTTCTGTGGGGGAGGTATGGATAATATGTTCTGGTATTACACAATATACCCTCCTCACAGGCCCTTAGTTGTTTGGGTAACTCGGTATAATCATTGTTGTTGTATGCGTAGGTAACCAAATAAATGATGATGGGGGTGATAATAGTGATGATGATGGTTTTGAAGATGATGACGAGGCCACCATACTTTCATTCCTTAATGATTCTACAAAGGAGGAGCTCAATTCAATTCCTGGATTCTCTTCCTCAAAGTCCAACAAGTTGATTCGTCTGAGACCATTTGAATCTTGGAAAGATTTGGTAAGTCAGTCGCAATAAGTTGTGAATGATAGATATTGTTAATTCCATTACGCCGTCATGCTTCCATATATAGTCGTAGAAATTATATATATATATATATATATATATATATATATACAACCATTTGCAAGAATTATGGCCGCTTCCAATATATATACAAGTATATCAACAGCATATCAAAAATTATGGGATACCCTCCATTATATTTTTTTCGAGTTGTCTATCATTAGGGCTTTCTGAAAAAAATATCAAGAAAGATATTCTGCCCTGTCTGATATATTTTCGATATACTTGTATTTATATTTGAAACGGCCATAATTTTTGCAAATAGCTGTATATATATATATATATGATATATATATATTTATATAATTGAATATAAAATTTAAGAAATGACATGGTTCTAAAAATTAGAGCATAGTTTAGATAATCATGAATAGAATAGTACTTCTTACTGGGAATGAATGACATATAAAAAAATATTAGTAAATAAAAAATAATACACAAGGGAATGAAAAATGRTTTGATATATGAAACAAAATGCTAAAGGCATGTGAGCATATACACATGGAATATGCTTGTTATAAATATTAAAGTCATTAAGGGAATGTCATATTGACTTGTCGAAATGGGAAACGTTATTCTCAATCTACTTGTTTTTTTGTTTCCTTTTTCCTTTTTCCAGAAATCAAAGATAGAAGCAGCCAAAGGCATCTCAGTCCAGGTATTAAACATTTATCTAGGAAATGTTATTTAAGAATATATATATGCCGTATTACTGAACAGAGCACAGAAAAAGGCTTTTTCTATTCATTGATTTACTTTTTTTCCTTTTATAAGATTATTTGGGATTGTCATTTGCTGCTAGAGAAAAGACTGCATGTGATAAAACTTATGAAAAAATGTGAAAGAATTGCCAGAAATATCCAGAAAATGCTGTCTGACCAGACCAGTGGAATTGTAAGTGTTTATGAATGCATGCATGGATCCATTGTTGTATTGATCCATTCATCTGCATGTCTATACATCCATTCATCCATGCCCATCCATCCATCCATCCATCCATCCATCCATCCATCCATCTCTTCTTCCCTCCTTCCCTCCTTCCTTCCTTCCCTCCTTCCCTCCATCTATTTACCTATTGATTTATCTATTTTACAGGAAAATAGTAATACTGGTGTTTCTCAACCAGGAATAATAAACAAGAGGTAAATATTTTTWAAATGGGTGAAACTTTTTTCATTAGCAGCTAGTTCAATATTTATTTTGTAGACATTGATCTCACCTCTCACCATTTTAGTTGCAAGCTCAAGCCATACCAGTTAACTGGTCTAAACTGGTTAATATTGATGCATAAACAAAACATGAATGGGATTCTGGCAGATGAAATGGTAGGTAAATAGAAAATATGAGCAACCTCTGGGCTGATCAAATTAGTCGGAGCATTTGCTGACTCTGCAGGGCAAACCCTGAAACAACCTCTGGGCTGATCAAAGTCAGAGCATGGTTGACTCAGATCAAACCCTAAAACGACCTCTATAGGCTGATGTAAGTCAGGGCATGGCTAACTCACAGATTGAACCCTGAAACAACCTCTTAGCGGATGTAAGTCAGGGCACAGCTAATTCACAGGAGAAATTGGGATTTCACTAGTACGATTTTGTTAAGGGATCAATGAAAGCCAGAGAACACAGAGAAAATGCCTCGAATAGGGGAGAGACCAAAAGAATTAACTCATATTCAATACCAAGTTGAGAGAGGCAAGTATACCACGACACCTTTGATTCTAAATAATCATTGTTTTGATTGAATGCGCAGGGTCTGGGGAAGACCATTCAAGCAATATCATTCATAGCCCACTTAATAGAACAAGGAGATGATGGTCCTTACCTGATCGTAGCCCCTGCATCTACTGTAGGTATGTAATAAAGTGTCATTTACTTTTTTATTGTCCAATAAGGAGAGAGTGAAATGTTGCTCAGTGTCCTGAACCAGAGGCTCTTGACTACGGCACTTGACACCAGATCCAATTGGAATTTAGGGGTTGATTTTTGTGGGGAAGGAGAAATGTACTGTAGAGAACCCAGAGAAAAACCCTCAAAGCACAGGAAAGAAGCAATTCTACTCATATGGAACTGAGCTTGAGAATTAAACCTGTTTGGCATTGGTAAGAGAGGCTGTGAACTCACATTGGCACACCACACACATGCTTTGATCATATGTTGTCTGGATAATTGTACTTTGTGACTTGTCTCTTCAGAAATGTTACGACCAATTCTTGCTATTTTATATTAGTATTATTTATTAGTATTATTTATTAGTAGTATTTTTTGGGGACTTTGCAGATAATTGGATGAAAGAACTAGAGCACTGGTGTCCAACTGTGAATTACGTTCAATACTATGGTAATGTAATATTATATCCAGCATGCTGACATTTTCTTAATATCTATTGATGGTTTTCACAGCTGCCATGTTGGAGGAATTTAACAAAAGATTTGTGATTAGTCTCTTGTTGTGTCCTCCAACATGGCCTTCGTGTCTTTTGTAAATACATTCTCTTGGGAATGGTTGAAAACCATCAATTCAAGTGTCCAGCCCACCACACCACATGACCACCCACCACACCACATGACCACCCAGCATCACACCACACAACCTTCACTACTAACACAATCCAAGATCACCCTTACCACCCACCACCATCAACATTGTTCACCCCTTCCACTCTATACTATCCAACAAAACCCTTCCCACGATTAACTCCCATTACCACCCACACCATTCCCCACCACCCACCAACCCACTCACCCGTTTTTGTACTATACATACTTATGCATACTTATATATACTATAGTTCATTATATTGCGTTATCTAAGTGCTTCTTCCCTCAATTTTCAAGGTGGATCCACAGTCCCTTCAGCTCTAATGTGTTTTTACCTTTGCTAATGATGTAATTCAAATAGGTTCGGCTCAAGAAAGATTTCATCTTAGAGAAGAGATTCTGTCTCCAGATTTTGAGTGCCAGGTCATCATCACCACGTGAGTATCTGATGAATTATTTGCTGCATTTGACGTGAAGTGTGAGGTATACTAGTAGTGCTTAAAAGATTACGAAACATCCATGGTAATTATACAATTCTAGCCAATTGTACTTGCAATGTCATATATCTGTCTAATAAACCTTTTTAAATATTTTGACCTTATAATAATGATATATCTGTGTATCTTTCTTCCAATCAGTCTATTTAATTATCTGTGTATTTCAGATTTCCTGCCCATCCATCCATCCATCCATCCATCCATCCATCCATCCATCCA